AAACACGCTAACTGTTCTGCCTTTGTCTGCACAGACGAGCACAGAACACTATTTAGATATAAAATAAGCGTGCGATTTATTTCCCAGCTGTTTACCTTCACAGACATAACCGACTGTTTTTGTAACTCATGTGTGCTTTTAACAAACTTGAACTTAGTTTAGTACTCGCATGCTGTGACAGTCGCTTTCTGTGCGTGTGCTTCGGATGTGTGCGCTCAGAAAACTGTATATCTGAAGTTTAAACTCATATGGTTTAAAACGCATGATTTCAGCGCGATAAACATGATAATCAGAACCAAAACAGATGTTTTTTAGCAGGTCCAAACTGTAATTGCGCAAGCTCTATTCTGGAAAAGGGGGCGGGAGCGGCAGCTCATTTGCATTTAAAGACACAAGCACGAAAAACAGCGTGTTTCTGCTTCCACTCAAAATAGACATTTTCAAAATAATCTAAATAAATGATCTGTGGAGTATTTTGAGCTGAAACATCACAGACATATTTTGGGGACACCAGAGACTTATATTACATATTGTAAAAAGGGGCATAATATGTCTCCTTTAAAGAAATGTAATTACCTTTTCATGCCACTGCAGTAGGATGGCACTGCTGTTGTCTGAGGGTCTTTCAAAGCCTCTGTAGATGTATTTCATTAGGAGATCAACTCCAGTCTTATCCAGAGACTGAACAGCCTTTTCTATATCACTAGTCTTGAAAGAGCTCAGCACTTTCAACACGAGGCCTTCAGCCTGTTCCTGCAAACACACACACACACACAAAATGAACTACCCTTGAAAACATATCATGAATCCATTCATTTGAGATGTTTATACACTTTTTATACACTTCTAATCCTATATGGCCATCTAAATAAGTGAATTTTAAGTAAATATAAAAATGTAAATGTGAATTTTACACAAACATTATAAATTATACTTTTTTTAAATAATATTTAAAATACATACATAATATAAAAAAAACATTAGAAAAGAAGGTCCAAGGCACTTCCTTCTTTTAACTTTTTTTTTTTTTCTTTTGCTAAATTAACTTGTTTTAGCTGGTTTTTAGCTTTTAAACCGAAACTGTTCAAACTTCAAGCTTTTAAATCTACTTCAAACTTTCTGGCTAAGCTTTTTCAAGCCAACTTAAAGTGTGTCTACAAACTTTTTTATCTAGTTATTGTTTAGGCTGTTTCCTGTTGTAAAGTATTGATCAACTTATGTTGTTTTCTATGTTGTTGGTGCTACATAAATAAAATTGCCATGACATAATATTTTATCCATGTCATTTTACTCTGTGCAATGCTTGTTTTCAAAGCCTTAAAAATACATATTTTGTTATTTGTTAATTTTCAAAGCCTTAAAAATACATACTTTGTTATTTGTTAATTGAGAAGAAATTATGTCAATTAAATTAACTGTCAATTAATTGTCTCCAGCCCTAACAAAATTTTCAGTATTTGTACTAATTTCCATGACTTTCAAGGGAACCTTAGCAAATATCTAAAGAGGCCTCAAGATGACTTATTAAACAAAAACAAAACGAAATTATTTAAAATAAAACAAAATCATAAACTAAAAAACAAAAACCTACATATTTTTTAATTCAATTCACCCCCTCAACAACTGCTTTTTTTTTTCTTCCTTTGAAGAACCAGGCATCCCACATTCTTGGAAAACATAAATGAAGTAGATATTTTTCAAGAAAGATCATTTTGAAAATACAGTTATAGCTTATAGTTAAGCCAAGCTCTAAAATATTTTATCAGGTAGCAATTGCGAATAATTGTTTTTCATCATTAATCCCAATCCAGTAAATCCTGAACAAGGACCACTGGCGGAGGATGATAATGCTAAAAGTTTTACATAACTGATACGTTAGATACTTAGCTTTAACTCACCTTCACATTCTGGTTCTTGGTGTTGATGGGTGGATTCTTCAGCACTGCCTGCAGAGCTCCCATCAGGTTCCCTGTATCATGCACTAAGGAAAACCGCAGGACGCCAGAAATCACATCTAGCCACGAATAACATTCACTCTTCAATTATCACTACTCATAAATTAAAAATGTTATCGGAAAGGACATAACAGAAGGTGTGAGGAATTAAAAAGAACCCGTGCAACCGGAAGCCGGTGGCATCCGGAAGTGTTTCTACAGCAACCTCATTCTAAGTAATTGCCACATCTACAAGATACAGCTTCACGTGTTGCACTTTAAACATTATAGCCGTAATTCAGCGGTTTTAAAAGAACCTAAAGACTGGGATCCGCAGTGCAAACACTGTGAAATGTGCATATCCTAAATGAATGAAGTGACTGACTAACGTTACCACACCCATGTCTGGTCAACAGGTCAGAAATAATCTATTATAGCAATTCAACGCCAACATATCAAGCGCTTTCAGAAAACGACTAATCAAAATCTATGGAATGTAACAGTAAAAGTAATGGGACTGAAAGGATATGATCTGATGAGAGAATCCACCTCAGCCTCATCCGGACCTAGTTGATTTTCTCCACCGTCCTCCTCGTCGACAAACTTGTTTTCGTCGTACTCATCCACATCAACCTTTCTGAATCGATCGGACACTGTGTTCTTCGACATGGCTGGTGTGATCAATCAATCAGAAGATGTCAGTTTATAGAGAATAGTCCCAGCACTTACAGGAAGAAGCTCGGTGCTTGTTGACTTCCGCATAGAAAGCCCCCTAGTGCCAGTGGCATGAATTAAAACCTACACGTGTCGTCTCATGTCAAACTCTAGGTGGCACCCAATCAATCCATTTTAAGAATTCGTTCATTTTATTTTTAATTAGTTATTGCAATTCAATTAACTTTGGCTCCGAACGGTAGCAAGTGAGAAAATTAACTAATAAAATAATTTTAAATAATTAAAAAACAATTGTTAAATAATTATTTAATAATGATAGATAGATAGATAGATAGATAGATATATAGCAGTTAATACAAATTCATTGTAGATTTGTACACTGTAAAAATGATATGATCAATAAGTCAAATGGACGTTTTTACATTAGTTTGGTATACAACTTGATTTTTTTAAGGTATGCGAGATTTTGTAAGTTTAACATAATTTAAGTTAAAATGACTTGTTCAGCCATTTTTATCATAAAATAGGCAAATGTATATAAATGAGAAAAAATTCAGTTTAGCAATTCTTAACGATTTGGGTTGGGATATTGTTTTTACCATTATACATTTATTACAAATTTAATAGGCCTACTCCCTAACCTTTTTTATTTGACTTGTTTTGACCAGTGAAATTAATGTAGTTATCTGTTTTTATTCTCATCCTGTTTTCCAGCACTACATTATGATGATGTGTTACTGACATATTATTCTTTTGTCATACTACATGAGCTAATAGCATAGGCTAATAGTGAGTAACCGGGTGAGGCTTTGCACAAAACTACACACTTCCTCAAACGAGGTGCCTTATTTTTGCAAAACCTACTAAGTCAAAACGGTTATTTCCACATTTTGTGTGTGTGTGTGTTTGTAATAATGTCAGTATCCTGATCCTGAGTCAGTTTCTTAAAGTAAACACTTTGTGTGTATATTTCCTGTAAAAAGTCCTCAGGCAAATCATCGGTATGAAAATCCTTTTATTATGTTTACGCACAACACTACACAGGCTAGTAACATTACTTAAATGTACGACAGATAACTTTATTGTGTATACATGAATCATACAAAAATACAGTACGTGCCCACTTTTAAAGAATCTATATCGTTCGCAACATAATAATTACATCAAATTCTAACTGTACAGACCACAAACAGCAAGGAATGTGTAATAATAGACATTTATTTTGGACCTAAAGTGCACTCTAATGCTTAGGTCTATTTTTACCACACAACCTGTCTTTCCGGTATCTACATGCCACCTTTATCCTACTGACCTCAGTTCAGTTTTATGAATGACCTCACCTGTTCCGCTATAAGCACTTTTTTCTCATTGACATTTACTTCAAATGTTTGCTTTTGAGACGTCCAAATCGTAAAATGAATTTTAAAACACAATAGCTACACAATAAGCATACAAATAAATAATCTTGTATACAATTTCATCAAAGTATGTAAACCAGAGGAATGATTATGTGTGAAGTTAGATCTGTATGTGCCACAAATATATCTGATACAAACAGGAAATTAGATTTTCACAACATGTCCCATCATGTCATTGTTCCTGATGCCTCACAAGGACGTGGAGTCCTGTGTGGGAGGTGTAAGATGGCATTTTACCTTCTGCCTTTCACCCCTTGGGCAGGAGACGACATTTGTAAGCAATATAAATAGAAGCAGCTGAATCCAGTTCCTAAGCAATGAATCTTTTGCTAAAATATGAGATGAATCCTGTCCTGAAGGCAAGGCCTAACCATCGACCATCTACTGTCAGGTGCGTCACAGTAGAACTGAACGGAGAACATAAATTGTTTTCTTATCACACTGGCAGAAACACATGAGGAACAGCGTGTCCTGAGGTTCAGGCCGCCACACTGAGACCGTAAATTACTTGCAGAACAGTATTACTGCTAAAATGTCAAGTGAAAACAAAGCTGCCAGTACTTGGCTCCTTGGAACCCGTAGAGAAGTACACAGACAGATTCGTAAGCACTTTAACATGGAGATTCAAGAACCGTTTGGAAATGAAGTTGGGAGATGGTCCTGAATGTTGTAAAGTTCTTCACGTCCCCTGCCCATTGTGTTTGTTTATTTAATATTTTGGCTAATTTGATAATGTTTTCAGTGACCAATAAGAGTGCAGTACTCTCGTCTCTCAGATCATTTCAGCATACACAACAAATTTTACCATATGTGACCCAGGACCACAGAACCAGTCATAAGGGTCAAAAAAAAAATTTTAATTGAGATTTATACATCATCTGAATAAATAAGCTTTCCATTGATGTATGGTTTGTTAGAGATACAATTATTTGAATATCTGCAATCTGAGGGTGCAAAAAAAATCAAAATATTGAGGAAATCGCCTTTACAGTTGTCCAAATTAAGTCCTTAGCAATGCATCTTACTAATCAAAAATGAAGTTTTGATATATTTACGGTTGGAAATTTACAAAATATCTTCATGGAACATGATCTTTACTTAATATCCTAATGATTTTTGGCATAAAAGAAAAATCGATCATTTTGACCAATACAGTGATGACTATTGCTACAAATATACCTGTGCTACTTGTGACTGGTTTTGTGGTCCAGGGTCACATATTCAAATCTATTCCATAGAAATTCCCCCAAAATCAGTGCAGAAAACACAAAAATGCATGTAGATTCTGTGTTTCTGCTGCTGCATTCTAGATCAAGTCTTAGTGAGTCTAGGTGGGAAGACTTGAATTGAAATTTTCCATTTCCCACCATTAGAGCGTGCCAGTCATGATGCGTTCCAGACAAGCTGGATTTTTGGAATTGTCCACCTCTACTTCAAAATAACCAACGGAATGTAATTTTATTTGCCATCATCTTGGTAATGACATCAAATTGGGCTTCTTATTGGAGTTGGGGTTTGTAACAGTGTTATTTTAGAATCATTGATAAATGTGGTTTTAATTTTAGTTAACCCTGGTTGGTAAGAATTGGAAGTCTGACCAAAAGCCCCTTTCCAGTGATTATCTTTAAAGGGGTCCTATTATGCTTTTTCACTTTTTCAACTTTAGTTAGTCTGTAATGTTGCTGTTTGAGCATAAAAAAGATCTGCAAAGTTACAAAGCTCAAAGTCCACTTCAAAAGGAGATATTTTATTTAACAGAAATCACTTTTCAAAAACTACAACGAACGACTCGTTTGGACTACAACGCATATTTTCTGGGATTTGTGATATCACAAATATCGACGAATGGGACGAGACCTGGTTGAGCTGCACTAGAGAAGGCAACGAGTGTTATCACTATGTCGGAGTCACGCTAGTTTTCTCAAGGCAGACGAACTTAGAGTGGTTACAATCATCCGGGTTTAAATTGCGCTCAAATTGAATTGATATTAACGCAATATTTACACTGAAGCATGACATTTCCCGACCAGGCGCCGAGTGCTGCCAATCACAACACACACTGGCCCAGCTAAGCCAATCACAGCACATTTCGTATTTCAAAAGGCGGGCCTTCATTTGATACAGGAACTACTCGAGCCGTTCATGCCAGACTGGGGAAAGAGGAGTTGTAATAATGTAAAATATGTGAAAAATAATGTGTATGATGTGTAAAATGTGTAAAAACAACCTAGTATGAGAGCCTGTTCTAGTACACCCACAAAACAAAATCAAGACTTTGTAAAAGAGCACAATAGGACCCCTTAAAATCAGGACTTTGTAAAAGAGCATAATAGGACCCCTTTAAGTAGGAGGTGGGAGAATTTAAAGTTGTCTGGAATGCAGCATAAAAATGACCCTGTAATAAGGTCAATCCAGTCTTGACTGATGAATCTGCTCAGTGATTCTCATGAAATGGCTGAATGAGAACCAGCACCAGTGGACCAATGAATTCTCAGACGTCAAGGCTTTTGCGTAGATTTTTGCAGCTATCTGTTAGGTGTGTCGTTTTGCATTGCTGGTATCTCGTTTCAGGAACTTCTTGTTTTCAATCTCACTGAGTGATAGGGAAACCGAGCAGCGTGAGGGGTTCTCTCGTCTCTGCAGAATGCTGTCTTTAATTGCTTCTTTTATAACCTACGAAACAAAACAGAGCCATGTTGAAAGAAACTGCAAAAACTGCTGTGAAGGTGACTGAATCAGAGTTTGAAGGAGAAGAACTGACCTCAATGTTGTTGAGCGTGTTGAACTCCATGAGGTCATGAAGCCTCTTGAAGGCCTGGTTGGAATATTGGAAGTTGAAAGTAGAGAAGGGAGAGGCTGGATCGTCAAATATGTCAAAGTCGCCAAACTCTATCTCCTTGTCTGTGTCTCTGGGAACTCCTTCAAGAAAACAGAAATGAGAATTTTTTTAAAGAAGTTCACACGTCACTAACAATTTCTTAGTGACCTAAAAATTGTACAGAATCTGATTCGCTTGACATAACGTTTCTTCATTTTAAACATTATTTCCAGGTTTAAATTAGAGTTTGAATCCCTGCATTTCAATGTGGCCTCAGACTTGTGTATCCCTCTGTATACAGTACAATTCAAAAGTTTGTTTGGGGTTTGTAATATTTTTAAATATTTTTATGCTCACCAAGGCTGCATTAATTTGATCAAAAATACAGTAAAACAGTAATAACTGTTTTCTATTCAGGGTTATTATAGCTATATGACTAGTTATAGCTATATAACTAAAACCATAAAAAACATTGACGCTAACATAAAAACATTACATTAATGCTATATATTAAGCATTTTATTTCAACTAGCTGTCAAGGCAATGTTTCTCATTTTCATTTAGTGTAGTGCTGTCAAACGATTAATTGCATCTAAAATAAAAGTTTTTGTTTGCATAATATATATGTGTGTATTGTGTATATTTATTATACAAATAATTATATATATTATATAGCATGTATATATTTAAGACAAATATGTTACGTTTATATATTAAATCGATTTATATATGATATAAATTATATGAATATAAATATATAATTTACATACATGTAAATATTTATAAAAATATATGCTGTATGTGTGTTTATTTATATATACATAATAAATATACACAATACACACACATATGTAAACAAA